CTTTATACTCCTCGCTGGGTCTGCATTGGCTCAATTCAGCCTCTTTCCTTGTCCCAGACCCTGCATTGCATGTGTCCCAGTAGAGTCCCAATGAAATTCAACTGCTGCTGAGGCCTCCCGGCCTGAATTTGGACTTGAAAGTCTGGATCTGGCCTGACCCCTGGACTTAGACCAGAACTGGGACTGTGCCTATTGACTTTACTTTCGGACAGGCACAACTCTCAACGAACAGACATTTACTGCTTGAACAGACACTTTACTTTGCACCAACAGGTACACTGCCTGCACGTACAGACACACCCTTACCCGAACAGACATGACATACACATCTCCTGGTGAACAGGTAAGTCTTTTGACAATGCCCTTTGCCTTAGCTTTAGATATGCCTGTTGATAGAGAGCTTGACCTTTGACCTGCTTTCACGTTTCTGAGCTCTGGTGAGATACCTTTTCACAATGCTTTACTTTTTTCAAGGCCCGTGCTGCTTTATTTTACAAGGCCTGAGGCCTATATCGGGTAAAGGCCCTTTTAATTCAAAGCAAGTCGGCCAGATGGCATTTGGACGCAGACAATTGTTTAGAGAAGAAATCTGGCGCCTCAATGCCATGGCACAATTCTCTTGTTCGACAATTTTCTTTCCTTCTGATGGTATCAAATGGAACCGTTGTGTTTCCCTTCTTTCCAAAGAGCCTTCAATGTGCTCGGTTTGTGGGCTCAGAATTCTTTGCCATTCTCTTCTTCAAATCTTTGCTTGCCTTCACAACGCCCTCACAAAGAGTCCACTCATGGATAATACCAAAGGGGAAAAGTTTGTTGAGATTGAAGATGATAGCTGAGGACACACTAGGTGGACCATGAGATGAGGAGCTTGTGGACTCAAGGTCAACGTTGTATAAGTGTGCAATGAATTCAGTCTAAGCGGGCTATATCCTAGTTGAGGGCACAATGGCCGTTAACTGCCTGAATGAATTGCAGTTTCAGCGGGCTGTATCCTAGCTGAGGGCACAATGGCCGTTAACTGCACGACCACGCAACCAAAAAAAGAAAAGAAAAGAAAAGTGTGGTGCTGCTGTTTTGAGTGCTGGGGGGGTTGATCCCATGACCTGACCCTTAGTGGGATTTTTCCTTGCTCACATACCTTAGGTCGTTTTTGTCCTTTTCTGCACTTCTGGAAACTGGTAGGCCCGTAAGCCTTTTCTTTTGTTATATTCCCTTTGGTCCATATCCTGTCTAGATGCATGTAAGTAGATATGCTGTAGATATGTGCTGCTTGGACGGTCAGATAAGTCGGTAGGCAGTTGCTGTGTGCTAGGTCTAGGATGTCAGGTAGGCAGAGGCAGACTTCAAACAGGTTATTTTGGCCGTTCTTTTTTTTGGGAAGGCTGGAGGGAGCGGGCTTGCGACTGGAGCAGCACTAAAATTAGCGCTCGTAATCTTCATCTTCTTCGTGCCGGTGGTAGCCATAGCTGGGGCGCCCTGGCACCACGAGGAACAGCGTCTGATTGCGGGTTTATCAGTGTGCTGTGTAGCACCACCTCTACTGCTGCTGTTTGGGAGGTTCGAAGGAGCCATTGTCTGTCTCAAGCAGCCATTGGGTTGCTGCTGTCATATCACAGCTGTCATCTTCTTCTTCACCGAAGTTCATCTTCTTCTTCATGGCGGTTTGGCGCTCCTGATTGGGTATCTTAACTACGTCGGATTAGCGCCTGCAGCTACAGACACGGGGAGGTTGGGGCACTAGTGAGTAGTGTGCCATACTTGTGTGTACGGGTTACTGGAGGAAGGAGGAGTTTCACTGAACAATTCGTTGAAGTTTGCTGGAGGTTAATCGACGGTGGAAAATAATTTGTGGTTGCCATCCTGAGATCGTACTCGATTGTTGATGGAGGAGAGCCGGGGGATTACTAAAAAGTTGATTGAAAACAGTTTTTCTCTCAATATTTGTATCTGGTTTTGGCTTCTGCTGTGCAATCTCTCTCCATGGCTATGGTGTGAATCTGCTCTGTCCAGTCTGCCTGTCATTGCAGATGTGTATGGGAACATTTGAATGCGGTTTTGGATCATGAAACAATCCAGCACTAACAAGTGTGAACCACTTAATAGTCAACGGATGCCTTCGATTCCAGGGATAAGAGACCCAATTCCTTTCAAGGCAAATTGGGGCCCAAAAGAGTAAAAACAGAGTACCTCACTAGTTTCTGCTCTCCTTGCATTTTTGGCATTGTGAGCCTAGCCCAGTTCGTACACCTATACACTGTTGAACTACAAACCTGAGTTCGCATCCTGATGGACCTCGATGAACGGAATTAAGTCGTTCTAAATTTCCTAGGGTCGGTCGATTGATGAAGATATCCATCACCCTTTTTTAAATTATGAAACGGTTTTCACCTTTTTGCAGTAGCAGATGCAGTACCCAGGGCTCGATCCCTAGACCTCACCCTCACCATGTACAGTATCTGTGTAGACCCCGAGAGTTGAACCTGTGACCTGTGTATTCGTAGACAGTTGGTAGGTCTGTTATAGGTCCATAGGTAGCAGGGGTTCGATGTGTAGATCTATAGAGTGGAAGTCTTAGTGAGTTCCAGAAGCTTAGCTGTAGCCCTTCTAGAAGGTCGGCAAGTGGGCAAGTGGTCAAGTGGCAAGGCAAGTGGTGGACTAAACTGCAGTGCAATCGCAGTACGACCTCAGTAGGATAGCAGTGAGTCCACAGTCAGTCAGCGGTAAGGTCCAGTCAGTCTCAGTCCGGTCCAGAAAGTACCACGGGGGACTGTGAGCACCCATGGGCCGATGGCAAAGGGCAGACCAATGAGTTTCCGAAGTATAAATCAAGAGGGCAGCGCCCAGCCTTTCATTGATTCCTGCGTGAGCCATGCGGAAGCGCTGCCACAGCGACTTGTGCAAGGAGGTCTGCAGTGAGCCCGGAGGACGCAGTGGGC